TACAAACANTATTAACGCCAAACATTCGGTAGAATTTATAGAATATTGTAAAAATTATGGTCTATTACCAACATATATATATATATATATATATATATATATATATATATATATATATATTAAAACTGTCAGAAATGTATATATAAATATATACATATATAATTATTAAGATATACCACTGCATTTTCAGCATTGATCAGTTGCTGGCTCAATTTTTCAAAATTTGGATCATTTTTTTTATCACTGTTTTTAATCCATTTATATAGAAAACAAAGTTTATATATAAAAAATTTTCTATATGTATATGTTAAAAAAACAATAATAAAAATATAACATGAAATATGGAAAAATTGAACTGGAGACTGATCAAAGCTGAAAAATCAGAGATTTTTTTTTAGTCTTTATTATTGCAGCTCTGAGATGTTTCTTAATAATTGTATCTACAACAGTCTCAACTTATTTAATATTTATATATAATTAAATTACATTAATTTCTTGATGGTGACCAAAGAGGATATACATGTGTGTTCTTAATTTTAAAATGAAAACAGTTTATGTTTGAAGTGCACAGTTACTTACAACAATGGCAACTAGTAGCATAAACCACAGAGCACATAACACTGCTGATGAAAACCATTTATAGTAAATAAAATATTGCTTGTACAGTATATAAAATAATATGGGTCACAGAATAATTAAGTATCAATTTGTTAAATAAGTAAGTTAAACTAGAAACCAAGCCATAGATCATATTATCATAACATTTATAGCTATGTTCATTTGAACCAAGTCTGGCAGGTAACATGTTATTTTATTTTGCCACAAAAAATAAAGCTTATGTTTATACGTTTGTTTAGCATTAAGGTCTAGTGCAATGTAGCCACTAAATTAGACTAGGTCCAGACACGAACAATGATAGACTATTCACCACTAAGTACTACATTTGTGTATGTACTTGTACAGCATTATATTATACTATTGTACTTAAACTATTTCTACTAGCAAATAGCTAACTAGTAAAACTAGCTAGTAGTAAGCAGTAAAACCTAGAATTTAGCATCAGTACTTAGTCTAACTAAGTTTATTAATCATGTTCATTAAAAAAATCAACTCAGTGAAGGTAGTGTGTGTATATATATATTATTATTATTATTATATGATCATTTATATAGCGCCTAATAAAAACATTCTCATAGGCGCTTTACAACTATGGCAATTTTCTACAAGGAAAAAAGATGTCTTCAATTGACTTTTGAACTGGGAAGTGTCAGACCAGACCGGTGCAAAAAATATGGAAGTTCATTCCAATGCCTTGGTCCATAAACTGCAAAACTACGTAATGCAATCTTTAATTTAGTAACCGGGACCACTAACAAATTTCCCCGATCTGATCGTAGGCCAGTTTTTAAAGAAATCGATGATTTGTCAATCAACATTTCGGACAGATATTGCGGAGCCAACCCGTTTAAGCATCTATAAACCAAAACACAGACTTTAAAATCAATTCTTTTGTTGACCGGCAACCAATGAAGTTCTGACAAAAGTGGGCTAATATATTCAACACGACTAGCACCAACAACAATTCTTGCAGTGTATATATATATATATATATATGTATACATTTGTTTATAGTAGTAATATAGTATAGTACTCATAATAGTCAAATTCAAGCAGATTGAATTAAGACTGTCAGAAATGCCATTATTGATGAAAATAACAGCATGTTCCTTGGTGGTATTGTATCCAGAGTTGTTTTTGACAATAACTAGCATATAACTTACTTATTGTTCAAATTTATTTTATTTTTAATGTTTTTACTCTTGATTGTTAGTAAAAATAGAAAGTATAAAATAGTTAATATATAAAAATAAAGTCATATAAATATAAAATAAAGTGAAAGTCAATAAAATTGTTAACTGATTGATATGTTCAGTTGTTAAACAGTTAATTAAAGTTGTTAATTTAATTGACACCACAAACTAGCGACTAGTCTCGCCAAACCGTAACAGATGATCTACTTATTCATTCCAAGATTTAAATAACAAAATGATTTATAGTGTTAAACAACGCACCGTTTACAACTTTCGAGACGACTGGACCAGCCATTAAACATAAAGTCAACCTTCAAAATAATTTTTTTTCTTTCACGGGTTAAGTTAAAACCACAGAACTCAAAAACAAAATATTTGCAAAGACGATGGAAAATTAATGACGATAGCACGAATGCGTTTATTGCAAACACCATATATATATAGAATATAACATATAGGAAATTCTTTATTATCGTTATGTTTGTAATATAAATAATTTGTCAATAAATCTGGCAGTACCCTGGTTTTAGTTTTGATGTTGAGACAAGACTGAGATAATCCCATGGAATTATATAATTCAATGGATAATCCAGGTCATGGAGATCATACTATTTATTTAAAAAATTATAAACCGTTCGAAGTGATTTCCCCATATCGAGCTGTACGGTTTATCCACCTGGAATGTATTCAGATCACAACTTCATCAAAATGAATACTGTATCTAAACCATCACGAAAAATCATAACAAAGAAAGTAAGACATTATAATAAAATTGATCAAAGGAAATTCATTCAATTTGTCACTTGAAAAGTGTGAACATGACAATGTTGATGATGCGATTGCTGTTTTCGAAATTTTAGTTCTGATAACTGCCAATGAGGTTGCTCATAATCATGTTTTCAGTTGTTCGTTCCATCCACTTCAGTGCAATAAATAGGAACGACTATTAAGACGTTTTTAGGCTCAATCAATCAAACAGTCAATCAAGTAGTTTATAAAGCGCTATTTTTGCGATGTTCAACAGTGCTCTTCAATGAATTTAGCAAACGGATTTTGACATCTGCCCTGAATTTTGTAAGTGATGGAGAAGTAGTCCGACAAGGAAGTAGAGAGTTTCAGAGAAAAGGGGCAGAAAAAAATGCAGATTTAGCAAATGAGTGTTTAACACGAGTTAAGAAGTGAAAACAAAAAGACGATCGTAAACTGGGCGTTTAGGTTCAATTAATATATCTGATAAGTACTTATGAAATAATTTAGATTGAGACTTATAAATAAACGTGCAAATTTAAAAAATTATTATATATATTAAAGGTAGCCAGTGCAAGAAAACAATGATATAGAGATAAATGAGAAAAGAAAGGGCCTGAGCAACTAGACGAGCATTAGAGTTTAAAGCTTTACTTAAAGGGTAGAGTGTAGAATCAGGAAGACCATAGTAGAGAGTAGTGCGAGTTACAATGATCAATCCCATGGACATCTAAATAATTAATTATCTAGAACACATGGATCAATCCTAGATCAAACTAAAGAAGTAACATGTTCCATATGATCGTACCGCACTACTGGAACAATGTTGTTAAGCATAACACCGGTAAATCAAAAATGTTGTGACACACTTAATAATATTTTGTACAAAAATTTGGATAATTCATAAGGTTTAAATGTGAATTATGCGGCTGACAAATTTTCTGTCCTTTTTGAGGTAAAAGTAGAATTAATGAATATGTTGTGTGTCGTAATCGTAACATATAAACGGTGGTGTTTGAATGAGGATATAAAATTTTCCAATTTTTTCTACGCACTGAGAAGGATGTTGACCAGATTGTTGAAAGGTTGTCTACCAAGACATGTTTGCTCAATACGATACCATCATGTCAGCTGGTCTGGTAAATTTATATAAAACGGCGATGAAAAAAAGTATTGAACTGAGTTACAATGTATCAATAATAGGATAAAACTATTGAAGTTACAAGAGAAGAGTAGGATCATCAAGGAAAGGTATTTTTTATATTCTACATAGTAAATACTATAAGCAGCACTATAGATCTGAAAAGAAAGAAATTTTGAAAATTTAACCGATTTTTCAAGTTTTATTTTCAAGTTTTTTATCATAACAACAATCTCCGTTAACTTTTAAAAGCAAGAACATTATTAGATTCTATATTTTCTCTTATTGTTTTATTCTATATATATATGATTCTAAGTATACACTTATATCCATGGTATACACATAAAATTCTAAGTATATATGGTCGTTGCATGTTTATTATATTTTACATAAAAAATCATTAAATAGAAAGTAATGTTTCTTGGTAGCTGTTATTAAATTAAAAATGATAAATTTTATGCAATTCTATGCAATTTTCTTCTTTATGATTACAATTCCATGCAATTTTCTTCTTTACATATATGGGTTCCACGTAACGCTCTCTGAAAATCTTTGGTTCATTTATGTTTTTCAAGTATTTGTGGTTTTTTAGTGTTTAAAAGTGAATTTGCATCGGTACTAAGTTGTGACATTGAAGGAAATTCGTTTCAGATTCCGGGTGTTGCCTTTCGAAAATGTCGTCATTGCTCTGTCGTAGTTTGCAGTTAACAAAGAAATGTTTTGGTAATGTCATGGTTCGCCATCATGTTGCGGGTCCACCTCGCAACTTAATATCTACCGGAGTTGGTTACAGCTTTAATGCTTCTTTTTTACCAACCACTAATTTCAATTTTCTTGCTCCTGCTTGCTTTGCTCACATTTTTTTCAATTTCAAATAAAAATTTCGATATTGTACGTAATCTTTGGATACTACCTCGTGAGCGTGCTAATTTTCTTTTAAAATATTTCTAATTAAATAAATTACTAAACCAAGCAACTACTAACTAAAGCAGTAAAAGCTACTAAAGCTGACTTATTATAAAAGAAAATCAAATTTTCATAGATAAGATGATTATCTAAATTTTTATTCACAAAAATCTCTTGTGCTTCTTATCAGTTCAGGTGGTTCTATAATAAGAATAACCGTGTATATTCTATAAGATAAATCTGGTTTTTAATTCTGATTTCAAACTGCACATTTGATTTTGAGTCAAAATTGACTAATTTTAAACTACTTTAGGTTTAAATTCAATTTTAAACTAATTTTTTCCAGAGCTTTTTTACTACTCATTTTATTTTTATAATTAGCCTTTTATATTCTTTTTATGGCACTTTTTTATGAAACCATTCTATTTCATGTTTTTCTTGCAGAATTATAATGACCTAAAACCTTATTCAATTAAACAATTAAACCTAATGCCAACATATTAAAAATATTTTATCACTGGCTAAGGCACAGAGGCACCACTCAAAGAAAACTAATCAAATATTCAAAACTTTGAAAAAGTTTTTGAGTTTATTCGAGATTTTTTAAATATGCTCGGCACTTATTTTATGTCTAAAAAGCATCAAATTTATCATGTTTTATCAGTCATTAAAAGCACTTTCAGTTGATTTGACTGAAGTTGTTGGTTGCGGCATATTTGTACAACTGAATGCAAATTAACTCCACTAACGTTTTTATTTATTTAAAATATTAAAACACATTTTATGATAATGAATCTCTTTTTTGAATTTTTTTAAAGGAACAAGTTGCTGTTGGAACAGTATTGTTTGTCTCAATCACTGCTTTCCCGACATACATACTTTTGAATGTCAAGAATTACAGAAAGAAAGAATAAAGAAATATTTTCATTAAGAGAATGAATATTGATATTACAAATCAAAACAAAACTTGTAATAGCTACTTTTTTGATTGGTAATAATAAAATGTTGAAAAAACGTTTATCAAATATTTATTTTGTTAACATTAGAAATTGCTAGTTTTGGGCTGCTCTTATACAACATAAAGTGTCCTTGGACTTGAGCTGGACTTATAGATTTTCCTATTTCATTCTGCCTAATTTCTTGAACAAATATGTTAGCTTGTTGAATGTTGCAGTGTGGATAAAACTTCAAAAACATCTGTTGTAGTTGATAATCAGAACAGTAATCTATCAACAGTTTCACATCCACCCTTCCTGGCCTCACCAATGCTTTATCCAATCTATATTTTGAATGACCAAAATATTACATAATAGTAATAGCCATCATTAATGATACATGTAAAATAAATTACCTTTCTGGGTAGTTTGTTGTCATGAAAATGATTCTACCTTCTGAAGAAGCCACACCATCTAATGCATTTAGCAAGCCACTAAAGGTTAATTTGCCCATCCCCTGATAGACACCTGGATCTTAATCAAGAGTTATCAAAACTGCAAGCATTTGATTGTGTTAATTTTTTTTAATAATACATACAATGGTATTACTTTCTTTGGTTAAATCTCTGCTTGCAAAGGCAGCATCAACATCTTCGAGCAAGATAATACTTTGCTGTGGCGCAACACTTAGCAAATGATTTAATCTGTCATCAGATAGGCCAGTTTGGTTGAGATTCAATAAACAAATTCCGAATTCAAGTTCACCTTTAAAAATTTGTGTTATCCTTCATATAGATATCAAATTAATTAATTTACACGTTATTTTAAGGAAAAATTTTATTAAGTAGATGATACAAATGTTTCATCTTGCTATTGGAGTCACCTGCTAAGGCGGTAATGAAACTGCTTTTGCCACATCCAGGTGGTCCATGTAACAAATAACCTCTTCTGTAGGGTATCCCTCTTTCAGTATACCATGATTGATTTTTTAAAAAATCTTTAATGTCGCATTCTATATATTCAGCCAGTTTTTTATCTAAAACCACAGATGATAAAGGACGTCTTTTTCTCGGGTGTCCAAATGGTCGCCATTCAGAGGCTGCAGGTGTGTACATGATAGTCTTTCCTTCCTGCATTAAAAGTGCAGATTGTCTGGCATTATGAAGAATATCTTCAAACAACTTTTGCTTTTTTCCAAAAGTAGTTAATATAACTGATTCAAATGGCACTCCAGTCTGAAAATCTGTCATCTGTTTTTTAAATGAGATGGATTAACAAAATAAATTTAGCTAGGATACAATATTTTGTGTTATTAAAATAATTGAAACATGAATCAAAAAGGTAAAAAATTGTAGACAGAGACTAGATAGTGATAGTTTAATTTTTAATATAATCTAATAATGCTAATCAAAAGTATGGCAGAGTCCATAGCAAACCTGTTTTTCCCTGTTTCTTTCAACTTGAATCCATGATTTACTGTATCTGATGTAATGCACTCCCGGGCCAGGCACAAAAAAAAAATGTGTTTCTATTTTACCAGGGCCCAATTGTTGAAACGAAGTATTTACACTTAAGTGCTGGGTCCGACGACCCTGGCTATTCAACCACTGCAATAACCAATAAAAACTTTTGTCGCGGCTGGTTACTTCTAATGTTGTCATATAATTACGTCTGAAAAATATCAAAGAATGTTGCAAACCACGGCGAAGTACTGCTAACAAAGTGCCGACGCCAACCAAACCAAAACCGGCACCAAAATAAGGATTATCTTTAAGAGAGAGAATTAACTCTGCCATTCTTTACTTTATTCATGCAGTTAATATAAACAAACTAAATCAGTTAAAGTTAAAAAAAACTATCCAATTGGCAATGTCAAAAACCGCACTTGCCTGCACTTTATAACGTGGTGCGTGAAGAGTACATAATCCATATTAACCTTACTGACCGACCTATATATTATGCGAATTGTTTAACCTTAAACGCAAGGCTAGTGTCATTCGCATCTCATTGAAAATTGTATAGCTGCACAAGCTGCTTAACTAAGCATTAATTTAAATTATATTTTCTATGTATTTCAGCGACGTAATTATGACTGTATGAGCTGCTGTTCAAGTTAACAAGTAATCTAAATTTTACTCAGTTGAATAAGTATCACTGTGCAACACTTGTTTACGAGCAACTAATAAAACGAACTCGAGCAATGTCCAACAATTATCAATTACACTTCAACCAAAAGTCAAAGGCACCCAAACTGTCTACTCGCCAATTCGTCATAAACAAATATCTTACAGTCACATCATCTGTAGACTGTATAGAAGAGGTACTAGATTTTTGAACTTCCTGTTGAATAATGACTTTCATGACTTTACACCTGATATGAACTCCTCGATTTTGAAACGTTCTTTGAAATCATTTTTAGAAGATTTTACGGAACATATAAATTGATGATATATGAAAAAATGTAATATATAATTAGACATAATTTGAAATTGAATGAGTATGATTACACACGAACGTGTATATACGTGCATGAATGGGTGTATGTGTACGAGTTCTTAAGTGAGCGTATAAAAGTATTTGTATAGATATATAGTGATGTAGTGAATGTAGAATTTACATCAAAAAGTATAATTATGTGTGAATATGGACAAATTTGTATACGAAAAAGTATTTGAACACTCTTGTATAAAGGACGAATGCCGGCAACACCGTCTGCGGTGGTTTGGTCATGTCAAACGAAGTGGAAACAGTGCCATAACTTCTCTTGCAGATATTGAAGTACCTGGCACACGTCCCAAAGAAGTCCTGGTCCTGGTCGCAAACAATCGAGCAAGACATGAAAGCTCTAAATTTAAATAAAATGGATACAACTGATCGTCTAATTTGGCGCAAAAAGTTGATGGCAAAGAAAACAACGTCCTACCTCGGGAAACCGGGTCTCTGGACGCAAAACGAAGATTGATTGTATAAATACGTACATATGTATATTTATGTATGGTTAGCGTGTCCGTCTATCACTCCCACGACCCGGGATCGAATTCTGCAGTTTCTACAGGTTCATCTGGGTAGCCGACCCCCGGCCAACCCAGTCGTCCATCCTTTCGAGGCTGGTAAATGGGTAGACGACGTAAGTTGTCGCATGTTGGCCGGCGAGGTGGCTCAAATGCGCGCTGAGTCAAACATCTCAATGGCTATCATATACTCAGCGTATATGATTCGGTGGTTGCGCGTGCACATAAATACATGTGTACGTCGTGTGAAAAGGATAAACAGCCCTTGTGGCGAAGATGGCTGCTTCAAATCAATGGTTGAAGAAATGAAGAACATAAAAGATATACAAATACTATATCTGCAACATTGTAAGTGGTTCTGCGTATGACAGAGCTGCAATAGTAAAGACTAAAAAAAATTAATTAAAGACATGTTCGATTACTCCAGGAACAAATATATGTATGTGTATATGTGCGTCTATATATAATATATACGCGTATGTGTTCGCATACAGGTATCGACTGTAAATGTGAACGTAGTACATAACTGTTCTCGCGGTAAATTATTGGTGGAAATATATATATATATATAAATTTATATCTTCAAAAAAATATTTTATGATATATATAAATATCCTGTTTATTTACATTGATCTCCATATGATTTCAGTTTAGGTTGCCGTACTCGTTGATTTTGTCTACAAAATCTATTATGGTCATTCTGTTTTTCTCTTATTGTTTTTAAACGGAGGAACAAATAAAATTTCATTTCATAAACAGCATTGAATTAATAAGGAGCAGTTTATAAAGAATACCACCTTTTGGTAAGGGGGTCAAAAAATTAAGAAATTCACGTTTGTCACTTTGTGACAAACGTGACTTTAAAGGCACTTGGTCTCAAGGAAAGAGACGCAATGGATAGATCGGCTTGGAGACAGAAACTGATGATTGGAATAAAAAAGTCCGACCCATAACGGATGGAGACTATAAACGAGTATTTATTGATTGATTGTTACAAAGAGGGAAGGAGATAAAATCTTATGTGACCTTCCATTTTGCGTTGCACTTTTATAATGTGAGTCAATCAAAATGTTTTAAACATATTCCTATCAAAAAAAATTATAAAATTTTATGTGATCAAAAATTTGTTTAAAATCCACTCTTTATTCTTCTCTTAAACTCCTTTGCTTTTGTTTAATCAGAGGCGTAGATAAGGGGGGATTTGGGACGGAAGCCTCCCAAAATGGCATTTTTTGGGAGGCTTCCCAAGGCAACATTGAACAAAATTTCTACATAAATTTACAAAAACCTTGAAAGAAAACTATTTCAACTCCTCCACAACAATAAAATTAAATTTTGCACTTGTTTTAGTTGCAAAAATTGTAGCTAAAAAAGGTAGCCAACTTTTTTAATTTGAGCCCCCTGTCCGTAGCACATTATCGGCAACGCAATTGGTTTAATAAAATATTCATTATTCTAAAATCATTTACAGTGAAAGCAGGAATTTTTGATTTAGATCTTAAATACTGACACAACCGCTTGTTTATCTGTTTTTTTTCAGTTTTAAATAAATATCAATAAAGTGAACTAATAAAAAATTAAACTTTTAAAACAGTCAGTAAATAATGGAATGCGGAAAAATTTCGACTATAAATTCTGTTGTAGTTTCCGAACGTCAATCTTTTCCAGTGTGACCAACCTGCAAATAACATTTTTTAGTATATTTTAATTCGTGTACGACTCTCTCATGTGCAATTCAAAAATAACGATAATCCGATACATAATTTTATTATTTCACACTTCATATTTGGCGCTGCAAATATAAACGTAAATTTGATCAAAATATCTACTCTGTTAATAATAAAATATTTTAAATTTTACTAGGAAACGTTTAATAAAAAAAATAGCAAAACTACAAATAATTTGAGTTTTGCCCATAATTTAAATAGTCAGTCTGCCGAACAAATTCAAGACAAGAAATTTGATGTTCTGGCAGCAGATGAAAACAGACATTTCACTTCTGACGATATTTGCTTGCATAGATCTACACCACAATGGCTACAAATGTTTTGACGTCGCACGGAAACTGGTAAACGGTTCAGGTGTTCATTCTGGCCCGCATGGTGGTGTTGTCCTCAATCTGAAAAATTATCTCAGAACGTCTCAGAGGGATTTAAACTTTCATCCGAAAATATTCGAATACTTATGTGTTTGTATCTGAAACCCTCTATCGACATAGTTATCATTGTGATGCATAGACCAGCTTCGTCTCAAATCACGAAAGAATATTTCAATGAGTTTCGACTGTTTCTCGAGCTCCTTCCTCACAGTTCTCAATGTTCATCATCAAAATGGATATCTTTTCGTGAAGGAACAGCCGATTTTTTTTGCCATTCTACTGCTACCTAATAAATAGATGTCTGCACATGTCAGTCAGTCATGCTGAGATCTCAAAAAATAGCGTTAGCGAGGACGTATTATGAATCCAAACACACTGAAGAGTTGTTCTACAGCCCGTCATCGTAAACGAATTGGCAGACCAATTTTAAATCGACCGAAATTGTTATTCGATAATTTGGAGGCGTTAAAGAGGAGCAAATTGCAGTAATCAATCAATCAATCAATCAATCAATCAATCAATCAATCAATCAATCAATCAATCATCGAGTAGCGTCCAGAGACCCAGTTCTCCCGAGGTAGGACATTGTTTTCTTTGTCATCAACTTTTAGCGCCAAATTAGGCGATCAGTTGTATCCATTTCATTTAAATTTAGAGCTTTCATGTCTTGCTCGATTGTTTGCGACCAGGACTTCTTTGGACGGCCTTTGGGACGTGTGCCAGGTACTTCAACATCTGCAAGAGAAGTTATGGCACTGTTTCCACTTCGTTTGACATGACCAAACCACCTCAGCCGGTGTTGCCGGCATTCGTCCTTTATATCATCTAAACCAGCACGACGCAGGATTTCGGTAGATTTGATGTGGTCCTTCAGACTAATTCGTTGCATCCATCGGAGCATTTTCAAATCAGTTCGTTGTTGTTCCAGTTTGGTTATCATTGGCCATGTTTCTGCACCATATAACAACACCGGACGTATCACAGATTTCTAAAGTCTTGATCGTAATAGTAGTGGGATGTCACGCCGCATCAATATAGAGGCAAGGAGATGCCATTTATTCCAGGCTGCACGTATGCGTGCTCGAACGGCAGCTTCAGCTGTTCCAGTAGAATCCAGAACATCCCCTAGATATTGAAACGATGTGACTTTCTCTACCTTAATGGCTTCGAAACCAGTGCTATTTCGAATTTGTTGTTGAGGATTGATGCAAGCAGGACAAACAAAATTGGACACTTTAGATAAAGTACCAATTATTTTTGAACAACGTTTGTGACACCACTGGTTACACTGCTGACACTTGATTGAATGGTTACCTACACCAGCTTTACAAACTGAACAGGGTCATCGTCCAGTAGCTGTGGATTGGATGGGTTCACCAGTGTTCATTGCTTTGGTTTTGCTGATGTTGACTTTGAATCCATGATCGGCGAGTCTGGTGTTCCAATCTTCAAACATCTGTGCTGCATTCTGCTCAGACGTGGCTGTTGAAACGATATCATCAGCATATATTAGATTCCAAATGTCACCAGTGCGTATCGGTTTTGTAATTTCTTCCATCACAGTTATAAATAACAGTGGACTGAGAATCGAGCCTTGGTGAACTCCAACGCCGATGTCAAATGCATCTTTGTTTCCAACCGTTGTGCTGACGAGAGTCTTAGTATTCGTATACATTTCCATCACAAGTCGAACAAGATATTCTGGAATGAGTTGTCGACGTAGACTCCACCTGATTGTTTCACGGGGAACTCGATCAAATGCAGCTGCCAAAAGATGTGAATTGCATCAATTGTTGATTTCCCCGCTAGGAAACCAAATTGATAATTTCCGATTGTGATGCACGACGTTAATCTTCTCTCAATGATTTTCTTGACAATTTTCAGGGAGTGTTCTAACAGACGTATACCCCAATATGATGAACAGTTCAATGGATCACCTTTGCCTTTTTATAGCGGAACTGTCATGCTATAGTTCCATTCAGTCGGCATTGAGCAATTTCTACACACTTCACGGCAAAGTTGTAGTAACGTTTGGATACCTGCAGTACCAGATGCTTTGATAATGTCATTTATGAGTCCAGAAAACCCTGCTGCCTTTCCATCCTTCATAGCTTTCAAAGCTTCTGTAAGCTCCTCTACAGTGATGTCTGGAATCGGACCTTCGATGGGTGGAGCGTCAAAGTTGACATTGATGGGATTTGTTTCATTTAACAGACGGTTGAAGTATTCTCTCCACTGTAGCTTGATCTCATCTTGTTCCGTCAAGAACCATCTCATTTTTGTCGTTTTTGATATATGAGGCACCAACTATGTCTTTTTTCGTACGCTTTCCTTGTTTTGCTATACGATACAGAGATTTCATTTGTTCACCTTTGCTTTTAGTGAGCCACTCTCTGCACTGATCTGTCGGAGCCAGTGCAACTTGACCTCTTGCATAGTTGTTCTTCTCACGGAAAATTTTATGGTCATCAACAGACTTTGATTTTTGCCATTGCTTGTATGCAGCTTCTTTTCAGCTATTGCATTTTGTACACTGTCATTCCACCACCAAGTGTCCCGTTCATGCTGACGTTTTGTACCAGTTTCCCACAAACTGTAGTTGCAGCGTTTATCAAAACGGTTTTGTATGTACTCCAATCTGTACTGGCTTGCGATTGATGGTCTAACTGTGTTGCGACAATCTGTTAAAATTTTTCTCGATAAATATTTTTTGGCAGCTTCCACGTTTTGATTCTCCGAGGCATTTGTTTAGACTTATGTTTTGACAGTTCGACAACCAAGTCTGCCACAAGGAGGTTATGTTGGGCGACACATGATTCGCCAGGTATAACTTTGACATTTTTGAATAGCCTTCGGTGTTGTTGCTTGACAGCGAAGAAATAAATTTGCGTGGCTGATGGTCCACTTTTGTATGTTATGAGATGTTCCAAACTCTTTCTAAAATATGTGTTCAGTAAACAAAACCGTGACTTTCAGCAAACTCAAGGATGCGGTTGCCATCTTTATTCCGTTCTCCATAGCCAAAACCGCCATGTACGTTGTCAATATCATCTGTTTTCTCTCCAACGTGGCCGTTGAGATCGCCTCCAATCAGGATTGTTTCAGATTTTGGTATTGTTGAGATGATGTCAGAGAACGCAGCCCAGAAGTCATTTTTTATCTCTTCTGATTCGCCTGTCTGTGGTGCGTATGCAGAAAAAATGATCATTGTTTGCTTTTCTAGGCGAAGCTTGACCCACATGAGACGTGAATTAATCCTTTTAATATCCAGTACTTCTTGGGCTAGCGGTTCTCTGACAAAAATTCCAACACCATTTTTGGCCTTCTTTTGACCATTCCAGAATAGTTTATATTTTTCTTTGTCTGAGTTGACATGACAGACACCATTCGATTTCCATCGGGTTTCTTGAAGGCAGCAGATGTCAATCCCTCTACGCTCGACATTTCTGCGATTTCCATGCTGCGGCCAGTTAGTGATCTAACATTGAGCTTTCCAAGTCTAAGTACCATAGAGGGGCCGTTCTGAATTTTTCTGCAACATCCCTCAGCTATTGCATACTTCCTAGGGATTCTTGGCACCCCTTGACCACTTAAGGCCTGCTGGGGACTAGAGGCCGTTGTTTTTCTTTGTGATGGCATATGAATAATTTGGGAAAAAGTTTTTACATCCGGACACCATCCTGACGACAACCACCAGTTATAAGCGGTAGGCCTAGCCTTTTGCTCAAAAACACGCAAGGCAGCGTAAATGCAGTTTTATGTCATGCCCAGGACTAGCAGTAATCAAACCGAGACAAGATTAAGTGTTGAGGTAATCTCACCTGTCAATAGACGCTTGATGTGCGAAATAGCATGTAAGTTTTAATTGCATGCTCTCTTGATGATGAAAAGTCGTGGTTGTCAATTAGTGTTTATAAAGGTTACTCCAATAAGTTTGATAAAGTTGATGATGGGTAGGTCTGAGCCTGCAAAACTTTTAGTTTATGAATGTTTTTGAAATCGTAATTTAGCCGTTTCATACAAATAAATAAGTTTTCAGACTTAGTTGAAAAAATTGAGTATAAACCAAGCGAGTTAAGTTTTTGGTACAAGTTGTGAGACGTTTAATGTTTGAAGAAGTACTTGACGTATGAACGAACATATGAAAGTGAGTGTCGTCAGAGTACTGGTGGAAAAATACACCAGATTGTTTGATAAAATTGTCGATAGGGAAGAGTTACAGTACGGTTAGTTTTTTAACACCTGCCTTATAGACATTTCAATATACCATATAACATTTTATAAAGGTATGTTATACAGATTTACAGTGTATACGTTTCAGTACACAATAAAACAGTCTATCAAGCTACTGTCATACAGTTTTATAATTTTCTGAACAATATCCACACGTTTTTCTAAACAACAAAACTATAACAAACATCATCCAGTCCACAACTATCCAAACTGTGTGTACATTTTTAGGAACACAATGCATTTTCTCTAGAGTCTGCATTCCATCAAAAATATTTTCCGTTTTCTTGATCATTATTGTGATTTTGCAGACTTTTTGTTGTGCACTTTGCACAAATTTTTTTTCTAAATTGAACATCTCGTTTGTTTATAAAATAGGGCTTAGAAGTTGGTGAACCAAAGCGTTTTCACACTTTGATTTGACAATTTATGCACATCAATGTTAGAATTTTTAGTTCATATTTGAGAATCAACAAATACATTTTATTACTCCATTTACGCTCTGTTCAAATGCATGGTTTGTGATTTATTGTGGTGATTGGAAGTTGGCAAATATTCTATTGACCACATGGCCAGTTTAACCAATAGACGAATGAGAGGAGAAAAAAAACTTGATTACGTAATAGTACTGAGATAACGAAATAATTGATAATTAAAAATAGCCTAGTATCTATGAAAAAGCTGACAGAAAAAAATTATAAAATCCTTATGAAATTACATATATAACAGACAAAGTTTATCTTAAATCATTTTTTTAGAATGCATAAATACTTTAACAATAAACTAAACTAAAGTTGCCATTAAAATTAAAAAAAAACTAACGGTTTAAGTTGATCAGCAAAGTTTTTCATATCTTCCTGAATTGGCACTTGTCCATGAAGGGAAATAATACTTAATTCCACCAAATACTGATTTGAGAGTAGTTCTGTTGAGTCAGTATTTCCTGGACTGAGCAACTTTTTGTTTCAAATTAATAAAAAATATAAATAAGAGAGATAATGTAACAGAAGCCAACATTAACTAATGAACCCAATTTCAACAGATAATACGGCGCGTATATATACGCAAATGTAAACCTTCATATGCGACGCAGAGTTTCAAAACAAAACAGCTAAGCCATGTTATGTTACCATGTAAAGAAAATTATACTCATGTTTGATCAATATTAAACAAAGTTCTTGATTTTTCAATTCTTGAACACCTACCCACAATGGCCCAAATTACGAGGCTATGTCAAAAAAATAAAAATATTTATATAGCGCCAATAAGCATCGCTGCTTTAGAGGCACCGGAACCTATGCTCATATATTGAAAAGATGAACATTTGGTCTTTTTTGAAAAGACTTAGCGACGAACATTGTCACAACACGGCTAGCGAGTTGGGGTTTGGCAATAGGAATGTTTAAAAAGCCTGTTGAAGATCTGCAGAGCGATCTAACATGCTTATGACGAAATATGAGGTCGTGTAGATTGCTGGAGATTTTGACAATATTATTTAACAGGTTAGGAACGCAATTTTGAGTTTTTTCGATCGGATACAGGAAGCCAATGAAGAATTAGAGGAAAAACAGAAGAGCTGGAGCAAGAGTTTTGTTGAAGATCAGTCTAGCAATGTTTTGGAATAAATAATTGAAAAATGTGAGTGAGGCTGTGGGACTTTATAGGTGGTCAATTGCATTCAAATTTTTGATGTGATTATATTCAGACATGATACGTTTAAACAATTTTTATGTAGAAACTTTTTCATGTATTTAATATTAAAATTTAGTATCTGATCATTTTAAAAAAATTTATCAAAAAAAAACAAACGTAAAATATAACCAAACAATATGTGTTTGAGCCAAACTCGTGTTAAATATGGCATCCAACTATGCCAACAATTCGGTTGGACATTCTTGCTCCTCATTGTTTCTAAAAGAACTGCATTGGCTTTCAGTGCAATCGCACTTCTTGTCTTCAAAGTCCTAAAATCTAATTGCCTATATTCCATTATTTATCTTTTTCTTACCATGAGCATAATAAAACATTCTGCAGTTTTCTTAACACTACCATAGCTAAATCAAAATTCTCAAGTTGCAGATTTCAGGTCGCTGCTCCACAGGTTTGGAATAGCTAGCCAACGGAACTCAAAAAATAGTAAATCTATGTCCGATTTGTAAAAACGACTCAAAACATTTTTGTTTGCGGATGATGGCTCCGGGCGCCTCTAATGCAGCTGCGCCTGGTAAATCGTCATACTGTTATTTAGAAACCAACTAAAAATAATCAATGCATGCAATGACTTCAGTTAAACATTTCCATAAAGGTCATTTGTTTGAGCGTACAACTTTGACACATGACTATACATCATATGATATACTGAATGAATTAGCAGTTCGTTTTGACTATCAATTTATAAGATGTCAAAAAATGTCTTATTGGTCAAAACAAACAAATCTTATAAAACACACCAGCCAAAATCAATTGAAATGAAAAATAATAATTGGGCTTAAATCTACAAAAGAAGCAACAAAACAAAGTGTAGAAATAAGCTTAATTACAAACTTTACTCAAGCGTGAGACAGTAATTTTTAACCTTCCTTTTCGAAAGACATAGCCATTAATAACGTATTCATAATCAAGCCTAGAATAAATGGTATATATACATAATAAATTTATTAATAAATAATTAATAAATAATAATTTAATAATAATAATAATTTAATTTAATAATAATATTAATTTAATTAATAAATTTATTTGCTAAATATTTAATAAATTTATATTGTACATATACATATACAAACTGCTCTTAATAATAATATAAATTATATCAGGATCAGAATAGGCTTTTAGTGCATGATCGCAGACTTCAACATGTACTCTAATCATCCTGAATCTGTGAAATGTCTAGTTTTAAATGCTTTGCTCTCAGTCAATTGACACTTTTCCTGGTAAGCTTTAGTCCTACACTTTACTCAATTTTACAGTATCGAAAGATATACATTTTTTACTCTTCAAACAAACGCCCCAATCTTTTTCTTCTATGTGACCAAACCATCTCAATGTAATAAAACTAATTACATCTACCTAATCATTTTATCTCATCCCTACCTATAAATTTTTATTACTGATACCATTCATAAAGGAGAATGTTTTTTTTATAAATGTTCTATCGCCCAAGCTTCACATCTAAATAGCATACAGCTTTTTACATAGGCCTAATATATGTCACCATGAAAATCATTTCTTTAAATTTTGTCCAAGCTCCTTTCATTCTATTTTCAACTGTTCTATCTGATCCAAATCCTTGATCAGCACATTTCTTAGAAGTAAAATTTGTAACTCCTTAAAACCTTTATTTACCAATATCCTACATTTTGTGTTGTAATTTTTACAGAACTTGCATCATTTGAAAATAAAAACTGAAAATTTAAAGCCTTTTATATAAGCCAAAACACACTCTATGCTTATCACATTTCTGAACATAGCACTGATATTTCCCAAAACTTTACCTTACCTACTTTGTAAACTACTTTTTTTTAGGTCATCTCCCTTTCCTCGTCACATAACTTCTCTTTTATTTCAGTATGTTTTACTTTATTTTCACATTTTGCCATATGTACCAGATCATCACATTAACATACAAAAATTTTCAAAGTAGCCCACTTCAGATCCATCTACCAATTTTTTCAATAACTACAATGAGTAGCAGAGAACTTGGTGGTAGGTTTTGATACCCGCTAACTTGCACATTGAATTTCGTAAACATTTGTCAATCTTTATTAGTGTTCCTGCTTTTTTCTTAACAAATAGCTTATTTAAATATGAACAATAATTTTTTTACCAGCAATTCCCTTATTTCACTATCTTATCACTTCCTGAGGTATATTGTATTGAATTCACAAAAGCAAATCTGTGTTTTTCCCTGCCATCAAACTCTAGCAGAACCTAAAAAACAGTGCAAATAAAAAAACAATTTGACCAAATACCAATCCTATTTAATATTTTGAAACTTATAAATTATAATAATCATAAATGCATTTTAGTTTATTATTAAACATTTTCCTAGGTTGCTTATACTTATAAATGTTACTGCTTTCCTACATACACTAATGAACATTTTAGTCATCAACTATTACTTCTAAAAACAAATTTTAATCTTTTTATTTCTGCACTTCACTGGCTTTTTACAAATTAAAATAATAAAAGTTACTCGAATATGTAGCATAGCATTTCAAACAGACATGAATCCCATTTCAGTTAAAAACTGGGTGATGCTGGAAGTTGTTGCTGAATCAACAAATGTTTTTATTATTGTGCTTTTTGATTTATCACTTGTGTCAGGTTGACTCATGAAGCGCACATGCCTGCAAAATAGTTATAGATTAGTAAAATTTAGCATAAACAGTTAGTTAAGCATCTACCAACCAAGGATCGTCAGGAAAGTCAATTGCATGCCTGACTCCTAAAACAACAGGAATGCATGGCGGAGGTCCCCCTGTTTATTTATATTAGTTAATTAATTAATTAATTAATAACAAAAATCCAAGTTAATCAAGTATGTTTTTAAAATACTCATCTGAACAGTAATTTCTGACCTGTTTAACTACTATAATATTATAGTTATATTGCCTAACATTTCGTGACATATTTTATGTTTATAAAATAGGTATTTGCATTCAAAATTTCAAACAAAAAATTATTTATTTTAAACATTATTTTTGAATAATGAATATAAGGTAAAACAAAAAAATGTTAAAATTATTAAAATTGCTTTTAAAATAAGCTCAAAAACCAAAATGTAATGCTGCAATCATAAAAAAGGTTTACAACATTAAACTGAAAAAACATATAGAACACTCACTCAAGATAATTGCTGCAATGAGTTGTGACAATGGGAGTTTGTATGTGTAAATCAATATTTTAATTTATCTTGTTATGTGTCAAAATAACTTATTTTGTTTGCTTTTTGATAAAATATTGTTATTTATTTATAATACTCATAAAATATGATGCACAAAAGAGAAGGGGCTATTAGAACACACCTGGAAACAATACATCAAACGATCTCATCTCAAGAAATATTAGTAAACAATACTAGCATAATACACGGTAACAAGAACCACAGCCATCTAAGAATTGCTGGAGTGATCTTCACTGACCAAAGAAAACCGCAAATCAACAAGCAGCAAAGAATATCACCATCACTAAGGACCAGAAGAATTTTATTGAAAGAGTTTACAAGGAAAGAGAATAAAACAGAACAAAGATACAATAAATGGACAGGACCAGGATATAATAAACGGGCAGAACATAGCGGAATAAAAGCACTTTGCACAGAACAAAGCAGAATAAAAGAACTTTGCACACACAAAATTGTAAAATCTGGAAATATTCCTATATAAGCACTGAAGATGAGTAAAGAGTAAAATCGAAATATGGTCCATATACGCCTCACCATGAGCACCAATGATTTTCTAATTAATTTTAATAAATTGGATAACAATTACAAAATTACTGTTAGAAATATTGAAAAGCTCAATCGTAAACTTTTGGTAGTTTTTATCAAATATTGCATATATATATATCTCATATATATATATATATGAGACATAAATTAATCTCATTTATGTTCATAGATTTGATATAATCGGATTTAAATATATTTTTGTGTTAATACTCTCAATTAATAGTTTTATTACAGGTAATGAAGAAAGAATTTAACTGTAAATATTTTATTTCCAAAGCTGATGAATTAAAACATTAATCAAACGTTATTAAAGTGATTTATACAGGAATTTAACTATAGCAGTCGACTTAGTCCATGACCTGGAAATATAAGCTTGACTGAAGTCTGTATTCATACATTCACTGGTCAAATACATCATATTTTGTTGAAATATATCATAATTCATCAGTTATAATTATTCAAACTATCTATTAGTGTCAGATGTCTGACATAATTCACATGCATGTTAAAGCACAATAGGTAACAACTTTAAAATGAATTTAAATATTTGTACTATTCATTTCTCAATTATATTACCACTGTTATTTGAAAAAATGTTGCATAAATTAAATGAAAAAATAGTTTAAACCTGTCCATAACATTTTGAGCTATGATCATTTAAAGATCTAACCATGGTTCATCAAATGATAAAACACTACAAAAAGCACCTTAGCAAAATGATGCTGTGATAGTACATACTACAGTTGTATATTTTTTTAAAGCTGAATAATTCTGTCATTAGATTATGCTATAAAATAAACTATAAAATACCACACCTGTCATATGATTGACATGCTAGGCTTGTTTGAAACTTTGATATACTTCAATAGCTGTCAGCACACTTTATGCTTGTTGTATATGACATATATTTGTCATGATATATATTGCAATATATATTCTTACATATTAAATTAATAAACCATCAATGACATAAACACATGCATGCATTTAATAGGAATAATAAACAAAATGTTAACAGTTGCTATAGATTTTCCTATGGTATCGTCCATGCTTACAAACAATCATAATGTACTTATAATAAATTAACTCTGCCCATTTTGAATTATCTAGCACTTGATTATTTATTTATATCAAATTGAAAATAATTTAATTAGGTAAGTTTTTTAGATTATTACTTGTTAAAAAGTTGAAATAGTGAACATTAAATAAAAAAAAGTTAAAATATGAGTAAATTTCTGTTTTGATAGCAATCAATGGCTTATGGACTGGTTAATAGGGTTAGGGCCTCCCTCTTTAACCAAATTTTCAATCATTTCACAAATATGGAGTGGTTAAAATTATCAATCATTTGTGAAATGATTGAAAATTTTGTTAAAAATGGAGGCCCTAACCCTAACCCTGTTAACCACTCCATAAGCCATTGATATTTGACAAGTAATGATCTAAAAAACTTACCTAAGAATTAACTTGTATTAAATTATTTTCAATTTGATATAAAATTATAAATAAATAATCAAGCGCTAAATAATTCAAAATGGGCGGAGTTAATTTATTAAAAGTACATTATGATTGTAAACGTGGACACCATAGGAGTACCTATCTCACGTTTTACCATAAATTCTCCGAACCAGATTTTTTAATCAACCAATTGCAGCGTTAATTGCTATTTAAAAGCATTAATTTGTTGATGAAGAACCCTGATATATTTATGCATTGCAAATGTTCTAACTCTAACTAATTATTTTTATTATATTATAATTTATTTTATATAATATTTTATAATATGAAATAAACCTCAAATTTTATTTTAAACTAATTTAAAAAAAATTTACTCACTTAATGAATAAACCATCTCATGGTCGTTAAACTTTTCAGGAACGCTGTCAGCCATGTCACATAAACCCTTGAGCCTGTTGAGAAGTAGATCCCTGTGATTTTCTAAAATACTTCCTTGCAATACATATTCGTGGAGGGCCGACGGTTGAGGTGCTTTTTGATTGGCAATATCAAGAGCGGACATTTTATAAAAATAAAGAAAATACTAAAAAAATAGGTGCACGCGAAGAAAGATGCGCCGTCACCTATAAATACTTAAAAAATGATGAGTGACAGAAACAATTAGGAAAACAATTTACAATAGTCGACATAATAATGTCAATATTTAACGATAGCATGCCACGGAAGGTCAAAATAATTTTTCTATGGAAAACCGTTTTAACTTTAAAAAAAACCAACAGAACGTAGCAGAAAAGTTGACAGCAAGTAAGGGACTATCCATAAAGGATGTTACGCTTTTTTAACGGTTTTTTGACCCCCTCTTCCCCCGTGTCCCAAACTGTCACAAATCGACCAACCAGCCAAAAATAAGCACGTCACAAAGCTTTACCCCACCCCCTCTTTGTGAAGAGTGATTAAACAAAGTAATTGTTCTATGCATTTTATTTTTTATCGATATCAAAATAATGAATGACAAGTTTATATGACAATAGTTTGATATCTAAATGTTCTTACAATATTTTAAATATAACAAATTAATATGGAAGATCACGAATTGCTTTCCTTCCAAAGGCTGGCCAGTTGCTGTGAAACTAAAATCAACGGAGTACATGGGCATTCTTTTTTTGGTATATTTGGTAACTCTATTTTTGTTTATTTAAAAAAGGAACGTCACACTTGTGTTCACCACCCTCCCCCTCGTCACAAAGTGTCACAAATATTTGGACCCCCTCCACCCCTTGAAGCGTGACATCCTTTATGAACGGCCCCTACTGTCAACTTACTGTCCACAACTTTTGCCAAAAAAACCATCAGCAGACACAAACTAAATATGATAGCGACAAGTTAAATACACCTATATTACTGTGTCAATATGGAACGTTAGAACGTTGTACCAGACAGGAATATTTGAAAACGTAAAACAAGAAATGAAAGGAATGAATTTCAGAATTCTGGGTTTGAACAAAATTCGTTGGAAGAAATCATGTGTCATTATCTACTAAGAAAGCAAATTTATCTACTCTCTGGAGGTTACACAAACGTAAAAATTGAACAAAAAAATGTCTAAAATTTAGAAGGTTTTTGGGTGGTGTCATATTTTCGGTCAAAATACACACTAAACTTTTCAACCTAGCTGTTCTTCAAGTTTATGCGCCAACGTCTGAAAGCAGTGAAGAAGATCTTAATGCTTTTTAGCGATTTTGATGATGCTTTAAAAACAGCTAAATGTCAAAAAACTGTAATTATGATGGGTGACTTGAATGCAAAAGTTGGCTTAGAAAAAATATATGACGTGGTTGGTCCTTATAGGACAGGTGAAAAAAAATGAAAGAAGAAAAAAGTTGATTGAATGGTGTGTCACAAATGATTAAATTATTACCAACAATGATCCTCTGTAGTCCCTTAAGGGACCGTTGAGGCCGATGGTATTCTTCTATCTCTCCAAAATCCTTTTCTTTCCCTCGCCATCTTCATTGAGCTCAATGTTCCAACCCCTGTCTATTCCGTGATATCATCCATCCACTTCCTCACAGGTCTTTCAACTTTTTTCTTCCAGTCCCCCTTTCTCATCAGTACTTTTTTGATCAGTCTGTCGTCTGTCATTCTGCAGATGTGCCCAAAGATACCCAGCTTTCTTTCCTTGACCCTTTCATACACAGTTTTTTGTCTTCCAAGTTGTTTTCTTATGGCATCGTTTCTTATCTTTTGTCTCCAACTGATTCCCAGCAACTTTCTATAACAATGTATCTCGAATGCTTCCAGTTTGCCTTTGTCTCTTTTCTTCAACGTCCAAGCCTCACATGCATACATCAATGTAGAAAACACACACGCTTCTACGATCTTTAACTTTGTTTTTGTAGATACATTACCGTTTTTCAATATTACTTTCAAAAATGCAAACATTCCTCTCGCGATTGCTATTCTTCTATCAATTTCTTTCGAACAATTATTGTCATCAGTTATGAGGCTGCCCAGATATATAAATTGGTTCACTTGTTCGAGCTTTTCTGCTATTAGAATAAAACTAAAGAAAATCAAAAAAGAAGTTGACCCAAAACGTTTGAATTTTGTCAGTCTGTCACAAAATGATGAGATCAAGGTCAAGTATAACGTTGAAGTACGAAATTGTTTTCAGTTATTGACGGAAGACGTAAATAAATCTAAATGTGAAATATTTAGAGATGCTCTCACAGAATCAGCAAGGAAAGTTATACCTGTTTAAAAGCAAAGAAAAGTTCAGAAAGGGATAACAAGTGACATCATATTTCTGATGGGTGAACAAAGGAAAGAAAAATGTCGCAATCATGATAGTTAAAGAAAGCTGGACAAAACAATCAAAAAATGAAAGAAAAAGATTATTTATAATTAATAATGTGAATTTTTGCCGCGAGGCGGAATCTTTTCTCTGTTTGAATACCGGCAGACGCCGCCGCCAGCCTAGGCAGTCTTGCTTTTGGCTGAGACTCGCCTCCTCACAAATGTTTTTCTCCGGGTCGGAAAACACGGGCCGGGCGGAAATGCTTTCGCGCCCTGCTTGCCAGTCGGTCAATCCGGCTTTACTAACCGCTGACAAGTCCTCTTCATACAGGTTTTATATGTTGAACAAGACAAACAAAAGCTAACTGATTTAAATTTTTTTACAAACAAGAAAGAAAATAAACTTACTCAGCAAGATAAATGTTGATCTAAATTAAAACAGCAACAGAACACAGTAACTAAATTCAGAACAATATCACAAATTACCAAATGACCAAAACCTAACACGCCAGGAACCGAACTACCTCCAAAAACTACACCAAATACTATCAAAAACTTACTCGAAAACTTTCTCAAAAATTAATTAAAAAACTCCAAAACTCGAAAACCAAATTCGAAAAACTAAAAACAAACAATTGTCCCAAAATACTTATATTTTCATTCACATGAGCAATCATTCATTCTCAAATATACTCACTTTACTCTCGCCATACTATTCACATAAAAAAACCCTTCACATAACATTCCACCGGCATGCATCCAAAACCTGTTTGTACAACGTTTTAGCAGCATGCATATCAGATCACTCAATACAACAAGCGCGCCAAACAACTAATACACGCTCATGTAACATTCATTCATAAACGCGAGCAAAAAAACTTTACATTATATGCACCTACTTTTTATTCTAAATATTATTCTTTCTTATTTACTATTGGCACCATTAAAAAATTACGTTATAAAAAATACTGTACGTTGCATGGCATTTATTAGTATATAGTGCTAAAAGGTCATTAGCCTATGTGCTGTTAGCATAATTTTTGTTAAGGAATAATTAGCATACGTGCAGTTAAATGTCATCAGCATTTTACGTAGGGGATGCTCCATTAAGCTAGCAGAACCATCTCTGATACGTCCTCCTTGATATGCTCTAGTGGAAGCAAGAAAGCAATGACGTCACGCATCTACTATAAGTGATGCAGTGAAATTTTAGTGAATAATCGTTTTTTACATAAAATTACGGTTCAATGACCAAAAGCTTAATTACACATCCCGCCAAAGAAAAAATTTTTGCATGATTTTACAATCATCTGCATCCACAAGACTCCAATTTGTTTCTAAAGAGAGATTTTTTTTTGCATTTACACTTTTTAATTCTATAGTGTTCTTTTTTCCTGCCAGAAAAAATCTTAATTTTTGATTCCCGTAACGTTTTACTGTACTAGCTTTTAGTTAAATTTATAAGAATTATCAATTGATCTTCAAGCCAACTCTTTGTAATATAATACTGGTTTGGCTCAGTAACTAGAAACATTTTTTACATCTCAAATTTATTAAGATTTGTCGATTTTCCGTCTTTTAGGTATGCGGTTTTATGCTGAAATATTAAATCTGTACAATAAAGTTTCTAATGAAAAAAATTTTTATAGAAAGTACTTCATTTTATGAAAAATTCAAAAGAAAGATTTCACGACTTACAAGTTGATAAAAATTGTTTTTTTTTTGTTTCAAAGGACGCAATTACTGCCATCTTAGCGTAAAATACAGCTGTTGAACAAAATTTTTTTAATGCAAAAAGCAGTGGACTGATGACAGAAATAACTTCGAGACCTAAAATATAAAAATGAAACTGTCACAAGTATATAACACGCCAAATTATATCATATTTTTCGTGCTCTTGTTTATAAGGCCCTGAGATGGATGATGATTAAAAAAAGAAACCTGTGTGTATATTATGTGATATATATATATATATATATATATATATATATATATATATGTGAAATATGAGTAACAAATACATACTTATACCTATACTGGACCTTGAACGCACATTCCAAGAACAATTATTCATCAAACTCATCAAATTTTACATTTTTTAAATTCATTAATAAATATATATTCGTTTTTAAAGATTTTATTCATGTTAATTATTTTTAATTGATTTATTTCATGCAATTGCATAATAATTATGCTTGTTAGTCTTTTTTTCTGCTGTACGAATAGACGAAAAGATTTGATGCGGCGTGACATCCCACTACCACTACGATCAAGACTTTATAAATCTGTGATACGTCCGGTGTTGTTATATGGTGCAGAAATATGGCCAATGGCAACCAAACTGGAACAACAACTTCAACGAACCGACATGAAAATGCTCCGATGGATGCAACGAATTAGTCTGAAGGACCACATCAAATCTACCGAAATCCTGCGTCGTTCTTGTTTAGATGATATAAAGGACGAATGCCGGCAACACCGTCTGCGGTGGTTTGGTCATGTCAAACGAAGTAGAAACAGTGCCATAACTTTTTTTGCAGATGTTGAAGTACCTGGCACACGTCCCAAAGGCCGTCCAAAGAAGTCCTGGTCGCAAACAATCGAGCAAGACATGAAAGCTCTAAATTTAAATGAAATGAATACAACTGATCGTCTAATTTGGCGCAAAAAGTTGATGGCAAAGAAAACAACGTCCTACCTCGGGAAACCGGGTCTCTGGACGCAAAACGAAGATTGATTGATTGATTGATTGATAGCGACATCCTATGTGTGGCTTCGTTTGCTTCGTTTGCTTCATACTGTTGCTAACTTCTTGGATCGTTTTCACTTAACTTTTAAAATAAAAGTCTTTTATCATCCTGATAACTTATAACTTAGTTTTTTTAAACAATATCTTGTATTTATAAATTTTATATTATGTATAGCAATGAGGAAAAAACGGAGGTTCAGAGCCGTCCAACGAACCCTACTCTGATATCACGAATTCAGGACCTGAAAAAACTTCCTGAAAATAACAATTGTTCCGATTGTAAATCGAAATGTTGGTGGTCGTGTTTTTGTTAATTTAATAAAATTTTAATTTTGAATAATTTAATTTGTTTATTATACACAAATTGTTACTTTTTGGTAAGGTCTTCCTCTTTCTTTAACCTCCTTCATTTCAAATAATTCATATGAATCATAATTACTTATATAAAATTATATTATAGATGCTAGTCTTTTTAGTGTTTATTTTATTCATTATTGTTTATCTATCTATTTTATCAAACAAATTTTTAGTTTTTTTAGTGTTTATTTTATTGTTTATCCATCTATTTTATCAAACAAATTTTTTATTCTCAATGTTAATCTATTGTTTATATATCAAGCTACCAACTAACTACTAACTGAGGGATTTAATATTTTGTATAAGACAGATAAAGTGTTGTACAATGTTTTTCTTTTTATACAATTTAGGTAGGTGTTGTTCGTATATCATTTTTAATATTATAATGTAATAGTTTAGTTGGTTAGAGTCAATGTACTATACATTTTTAAGAAATTATTCTAATACAACTTGTTTTTAATTATAAATGTTTATAATTATTTTACGTTTTACATTACATTTATACTTATTCTAGGACATCTACTTGATTTGAAAATGCATGTTTCAATCACATCAGAAACAAAACTGTACAGTGTAAATAGAATATGTCATTTGAATGTCAAGAATCTTTTAGTTTTCTTACTTTAGATACCTCTGGCATTTAAAATTATTCAGTAATTTCACATATTAAATAATTAGTTTAAGGGATAAGAACTTTAATTAAAGATGTATGGCACCTTAATTTAATGTTATTTTTAGAGAGCGGTTCTAATTTCCATATCACATAAATTGTGACATGAAAAATTAAAAGTTGATTTTTTTTGTTGTTTATTATGTTGCTTTGATAGTTGCAGAATTGGTTAAATTTTATTCCTATATTTAAATCTTTGGGTTTCAACAAAGACTCTGCTACCCACACCATACAACGTATATTTATGCATGCGCAAGCTCCGCTTTATACACTCATGCTGTATAATAAGTAGTTGTGCAAGATTTGGTACTTTTACCCAGAGTGTCTCCAGCTCCTCAAAAATTCTGTCTTTGAGTTCCAACTCCCAAGGAAAAATTTTCAATTTTTGCATTATAATTTCACTTAAAAATTACTACTAAATGATAGCTATTTTAAAAAACACTTAAAATCAGTCAATGTAATTGTTTTTCTTAGTAAAATAATTTTATATTTATGTTTCAAAACACACTGACAGAAAATTATATGATTTTATCCACATTGTTTGCATTTAGGTATCTTCAGTGTTATAGATAAATGTGTATCACTACAAATATTTTTCCTAAAAAACATGATTTAAAAAAATATTTTGAAAATAAAAATTAAAAAAATTTGTAACACTTTCCGGAGTCAGATGAAAAATATCAGACTTCTGTCTCTCAAAAAATTCTGACTAGCATAAATCTTCGACTCAGACCGACCCTGACACTCTGCTTCTACCAACCAAGCTAACTTGAAGACTGTATCAACTTTACAACCACACACTAGTTCTGCATAAGTAAATTAAATGTGCAAACATTCACTTTTTTCGTTGATGTGTCATTGCGCTTTATAAATTATTTTAATCATTTAATATTTTGCTGCTGTTGAGGTTTGATGCAAAGATTTTTAACTGGGCAAGGTTGTAAGGTCTCAATTAAATTGAGGCTTGAAGTAATAATGCTGATATTCATAATTACATTGGTGAATCATTTTAGTTACTTTTTAAATATTTTTATAAAATCTACCAAATCATCTAAACAGACGACACTTTTTAAATAGACCATCAGAAAAGAACCTGATATGTCTTTGTTTTTTGTACTTTTTTTCTAGATGTGACTCATGTGTCCTGTTCAATAGGAATATTTTTATGTGCTCAATGTGCAAAATTCCATGAACAACTCAAACCTGGTTTAAATAGAGTCATGCCAATAACTTCAAACGATTTCACAGAGCTTGATATCAAGGTTTCAATTTCGAATTTTTATTTAAAGAATTTGTTCAACATTTTTCATTGTTCGCCACAGCTTATCCAAGATATTGGTAACAAAATAAGTAACAGTACATATGAAAGAAAGATGCCTCCTTGTTATCGAAGACCTACATATAATGATCCCATGTTTGTTTTATTTCTATAATTTTGTTCTTAAAAATTTGTACATTATTTATGAAGTTTTTGAATAAAACTGTGGTTTGTAGTTGAATGCGATCAAGGCATCACAACTATTTTTCCTATCCTTTCAAAGTCAAACTTGGTTTGTCCAACACTTAACTTATTTATTACCTTTTCTTTTTATTTAACTTTTCGCTTTGTAAATCACATCATGCATTTTTTCATTACTAAATTTTTATTGCTATTTTTTTGATTTCAAACCATCTCAAATTCTTATATATTATAAATCTTATGGTTATTATCTCAGAAACATTTTTTACAATAGTGTAATGATGGAACAGTGGATTTGTGCGAAATATGAGCGCAAAGAATTTATGGAGGGCATGCCACTGCCTGATTACCTGGCTCGCACCAAGGAAGGGTACTTGTGGAAACGAGGTAAAGACAACAAACAGTTCAAAATTAGAAAGTTTATCCTTTGCAAACAAACAAAAACTTTAAAATATTTTACAAAAGAAGGGGTGAGTACTTTTGTGACTACCTTAAATTTTGTTCTTATCATACTATGTTTCCTTCTATTCTATTTTTTTTATCTATTTGCTCTTTAATTTCAATTTATTGTCTGATTTCTAATTTTGAATTTCTAAATTATTTTTCTGTAAGCCAAATTGTTGTTGCCTTTAAAAAATTAATATGATTAGGTTGTGACTGACAGTTTAAATAGTTTTTTCAAAATAAAATTGATAGCATTCAAGTCATACTTATTCGCACAATTTTTAAGATGTATGGTACCTTTTTAGCAATTTTTAAATTAGCCCAACTAACTCTGCACTGTTTGCTATCCATAAAATTTTGAATTATTCTCAAAATGTTTTTTTTTCCAGGCAAACATACCTCCCAAAGCTGAACTGAGTCTTGACACCATCGATGCATTTATTGTGCCCGAAAAAATTGGACATTCTAATGGGATGCAGGTTACAAACAAACAAACAAACACACATTTAGACGGCATTTTCCCCGAGATCGGGGGTTACCGTTTGGCTACCTATGATGAAACCGAAATACCCCTCGACTCCATCCACATCTGTCACTCGCCTCAGTATCACGCAACCCCGCTTTCACCCTGTCCTTCTCCACCTGCTCTCTCCATCCCAATCGCGGACGACCCCTTCCTACCACTCCTTCAACCTCGAACTCCAACGCTCGCCTAATCCCGACCCTTTCATCCCTTCTCAACACATGTCCATACCACCGCAATCTTGATCTCCTTATCAATGTCACAATGTCCTCATTCAGTCCCATCATTGACATCAGCTCTGTACTACTCCTCCTATCCTTCACTTTAACCCCACACATCATCCTCACCATAGCTCTTTCAGCCCTCTGCAGTACACTTTCCTCCTCTCTCCTCAACACCCAAGTTTCACCACCATATATCATCGCTGCTCTCACACATGCTTTATATACCCTCCCTTTCATCTTTCACTACCATTTCTTTCCCAACAATACCCCCCCCAGTTCCCCAAATTTCATCCATCCCAACACGACCTCAGCCGGTACCTGCCTCAAAACATCCTCCATCCGCATTCAGCTTATCCCCTAAGTAAACAAAGCTTTCCACTCTTTCAATACCATCACTCAACCCCGTCCTTGCGTCCGTCCTATTAATCACACCATGAACACATTTCTTACATTTGAACGTGCCTTCCACCTTTTTCAGTGCCCCCCTCACACCACTACATCTCTTATGCACCCATTTCTGACATCCTATACACAATACAGAGTTAGCCTTCACTCTCCTATCACATACCCCACAGGGGTCTATTTTACTTATCACTCGTTCCCCACCTTCCCTCACCATTACCTTCGTCTTACCAATATTAACTTTTAACCCTTTCTTTTCAATAACACTTTTCCATCTGTCAAATTTTAACTGCAATTCTTGCATGCTATCAGCCATCAAGACTAAATCATCTGCATACAAAATCTCAAATAACAACCCCTCCATTATGTTTCCACACACAACATCCATCACAATTGCAAACTGAAACGGTGATAACACTGATCCTTGATGCACTCCTACCTTAACACTAAAAGCGTCCGACATCCCTCTTCCAACCCTCACCTTTGTCTTTGCCCCTTCATACAGCTGCATCACAGCTTTAACAAGTCTCTCATTCACTCCTTTCTTCCTCAACGCCCATTCAATGACCTTCCTCGGTACTCGATCAAAAGCCTTTTCTAGATCCACAAAACACATGTACAATCTTCGTTTCTTCTTTCTATAATTCTCCTGCAACATTCTCGCCATGAACAACGCATCCACCGTTCCCCTACCAGGCATAAACCCACACTGCATTTCATTAACTGTCACCATACTTCTCAACCTCCTCTCAAGCACCCTCTCCACTACCTTCATTCCGTGCTCTAGTAATTTCACACCCCTGTATGACCCACAATCTCTCACATCTCCTTTGCCCTTATACAACGGCACCAACACACTGTGTCGCCAATCCTCAGGTATACCTTCATCATCAAACATACTGTTAGCAATTCTCATCATAACTTCAATTCCTATCACCCCACTCGCTTTAATATGTTCAGCCGCCACTTCCGAAACCCCTGTCGCCTTACCTAGTTTCATTTCTCTAACTGCTTTCTCTACTTCCTCCATCGTCACCTTCTCTATAGGTCCGTGTGTGACCACGGATTCCACATCTCCATCCCACTCATTCTCTTCATTC